TAAGGCACTTGTTACTACTAGTAAGGCACTTGTTACTACTAGTAAGGTACTTGTTACTACTAGTAAGGCACTTGTTACTACTAGTAAGGCACTTGTTACTAGTAGCTTATTTAATTCTAATAGCTTCTTGTTACTACTAGTAAGGCACTTGTTACTAGTAGCTTCTTGTTACTAGTAGCGATGCACGTGTTGCTAGACACCTGTAAGAACCTCCCAGTCCTCAAGGCGGCGCACCTGGCGCACGGGTGGCAGCTCGTAGCGGCCACCCAGGAACGTCTCGGCCAACTGGGAGGTTCCAGTCTCATTGGCGGAGAGGTAAACCTCAGGTCTCACCACTGGTCTGCTTTGTGGCTCTTTTTTACCGGCCTCACAGGTCATTGAAAACAATGCATTCGGATGTGAGTGGGAAATCGAGGTAAACATTGAGTCATTGAGTTCGAACCATCATTTGCTTGTGTGACGGCCGAGGTACTGCACTAGTGTCCCAATCCAGGACAAAGCCCACCCAGAAGTCATTCGCAGCATTGTCAGCAGGAAGCTGAACCTCTTGTACCAAGATGCTTTGACGGAAAATGCTCACCTAGGCAAGTCAAGCTAGGCGAGCTCAAGATCAGCGAGCTGTGTGACAAGATCTGTATCACTTCTGACTTTGACAAGATGGAATCTGATGATACAGGTTCGGTTACACGGTATGGAGTTACAAATTTGGAACACACTTTGATGGCTTGGCCAAGGCACCTTGCCCTGAACGTCAGCGAAGGTATGGAGAGAAAAAATCTGCACCCAAAAGTAGGCCAAGCCTCAGAATCAAAGCCCTTGAGCAAAATTGGAAAACATATTTATGAAATATAAGAAATACCAACCAATCCAACACAAACCTATTCTGGGACCTTGTATCACAAGGGTTTCCTATATTCCGAAACAAAGGAAAAATATGAAAAAACTGGGGAAACATGTTTTTGTTGCCGCTAGTGATTGGTGGAAAGGAACTGGAGGTTGGTATGGTAAAGAGGTGCGGATTGTGGCCAATTTTCATCCAACTACTGTATGCCTTCCAATTCTTGCGCTGTAGACAGATTTTCAAGAGATCACGGGATTTTAGCAAAGAGCAAAGGCTTCAGGGGTTCAAGCACTCAAAGCATGGCTGGCCTCGTACCACAATGTCCTTGAAAACCTGCCAGCAGTGCCCGCCAAAACATACTGTGGCTGTGGGTCCAAAGCCGGAAACCACTCTCCCTTTCTAAGAAGTCATCTGCGAGCCAGGAGTGCTTGACCCGCACCAACACAGCAATCCCGATTCAAAATCTCTGCAAGGAACAGCTCCAAATGTCTCGATATCCTCCGATCGTCGCTTGGGTACTGTCACATGGCCATTGGTGGACCTCAGCCAAGCCGCTACTGTGAGATCGCATCAAATCTGCTCTTATCCAGTGACTACCCCTTAGGAAGGACCTAGGGCGAATGAGCCGAGCCTCTGCAGGCACAACTGTGGATGTTTCTTGTGGGTTGAAGGGGTCCTCACAGAGCTATAGGACTGGGCAGGTGTGCTTCAACGCAGAACATGAGCCATGCTAGTGGTTACTGCCTGCACGTGAGTGAGAATCCTGCACACACGAGGTTGCCAGTCCAAGTTCAACACCATTGAGCGGTTTGTCCTCATGTTTGTAAGTTTGGTGGTGTGTAACCCTTGGAGTCAAAGGGAACCTTTAGGCTTGGAACAGGGGGCGTGACGGTCGATTTCCCAGTCACGCCAATGAAGCTGTGGAAATCGACTGGATGGAAGCTTGGACGCAAACTTCCGTACCTGTTCCCCTATTTAGGAAAACAGGAGGAAATGGTACTCGACACACTTGTGTGTCGGCGCCTTTCCTTCTGTTTTCCTCTAGACTACTCTACAGGTTTGAAGGTAGGCCTCCCAACTTTGTCAGGGGTTCTTTAACCTGAACTTTGCAACAGGCTTTTCTAATGAGGTTTGGACTGTCATCGGTTTGTCCCCGTTCATTTGGTTCCCCTTTCATCGGCCCCCACAGACGTTTTTCCTTCTTTTCTTTCATGTCTTTCTGTCTTCATGTCTCTTCATCCTCATCCTTTCTTTCTCTTGCGCATACTATCGTCCGGACCTTAGTTTGCACATACACGCACGCGTACTCTACTTACAACGAGGTTCAGGTGGCCCAGGTTCGTTACAATGAGGTTTGGTTCATCGGTTGTCCCTCTTCACTTGGTTCTTCTTCATCGGCAACCACACACACCTTTGTCTGTCTCGTCCTTTTCATTTTCATCTGTCCCTTTTGCGCGCACATGTGCCTTGCCTCCTTTCCGGGCAGGATGGAGGCCACACATGCCTCCCTTCGGGGAGGCGCGTGTGTGTGTGTAACCCTTGGAATCAAAGGGAACCTTTAGGTTTGGAACAGGGGGCGTGACGGTCGATTTCCTAGTCACGCCAATGAAGCTATGGAAATCGACTGGATGAAAGTTTGGACGCAAACTTCCGTACCTGTTCCCCTATTTAGGAACACAGGAGGAAATGGTACTCGACACACTTGTGCGTCGGTGCCTTTCCTTCTGTTTTCCTCTAGACTACTCTACAGGTTTGCAGGTAGGCCTCCCAGCTTTGTAAGGGGTTCTTTAACCTGAACTTTGGCCTCCACCCACTAGATTGGCCCCTAACTTTGCTGTCTTGTGTTTCTTGTGCTTTTTGTGCTTCTTGTTACCAACCTCCCAGCGTTGGCCCCCAACCTGCTTTCGACGGCCTCCAACCTAAGAGCGAAGACCCCCAACTTTGACGGCTTGCAGTTTTGGTTCTTGTCACCAACTTACTAGCGATGGCCCCTCAACCTGCTTTCGATGGCCTCCAACCTAGGTGAGAGGACCTCCAACTTTGACTGTCTTGACTGCTTTGCTGTCTTGTTTTTCGTCACCAACTTACTAGCGATGGCCTCTCAACCTGCCTTCGATGGCCTCTAACCTAAGAGCGATGGCCTCCAACTTTTGTGCCTCGTTTTACTCAGGCTCCTTTTTTAACCTAGGCCGGCGTGTGGCGCCGCTATCAGTCCGCACGCATATCCATAAGTGTGTGTGCGTGTGTGCGTCGCACTCCGTACCAGGAGTTCAATGTTAAAATACAATCTGCAGGGGGCCATCCCTCTCACCAGTGGTGGATGGCCACCGAAGAGCACTGGTGAGGGTGTAAACGTACCTGCAGTTCTAATTAGGGTAACAGAAGGAAATGGTACTCGACACACTTGTGTGTCGGTGCCTTTCCTTCTGTTGTCCCTGTTCTAGTCTACTCTACCCGGGCGGTCTCGCTCCCTAACTATTGCACGGCAATAACTCAAGTCCGTTAAGTATTCAGTAACTAGTTGTAAAGGGCTAATGCGAAACAAGTTGTTAAAGCCTTTCTGTTTTGCTGACTCCGCCACCTTGCTGTTCCCTCATTCCTTCCTCGTGGATTATGGAACTGAATGAACCTTTACCTAAGTGTGTGTCCATAACAAGCACCCAAAAGAGATATGGATGTCGCTACCTTTGCTGGTCTTCAATACTGCTCATGTGACCAACCGCGAGGAAGTGGTCAAATGGGAAGCTGACAAGGCAACCGCATCAGCCCAAACGGCCAAAACAGCCGTGGGTGGTTCGAGTACACCCTCCCTTGGCTTGAATCATGGTGTTGAAGCCTTCCACCCTCCGAATTGAAGTTAGGGTGCAGTGATGATCTCCTTGCCAATGAGGAGATCACGGCCTGAATCGGTCACGATGCAGCGGAGCTGCTGACGCCGACACCCTCCCCAAGATAAAACCTTCAAATTGCGGAGGAAGAAAATTGTTGGAGGGCCGCTGCCAACAACAACAAATGACGACAACCAACACTGGCAGCAAACAACGGAGCTAGGTCGCATTGCAACTTAGTGAGAGAAACCTGAGATGGATGAGTGGATATAGAAAGAAACACAAAAAATACAGAAAGGCAGATAAAAAAGGAAGGAAGCAAAGAAACAAAACGAAACGAAAGATAAGAAAAGACATGAAAAGACAACACAAGAAAAAAAACAGAAAATAGAAATGAAAAGAGAAAATAAAAGACAAAGGGAGGCCGATTTGTTTGTTTGTTTTGGCTCTGTTTAATGTCTTATGTTCAGATGATGGCAAGGAGCATTGCAGACAAGATTGTTTGCGGGTTGCGGATTACACTTGAAAAGAGTTATAGTATGCAAGTCAATGAAGGGGCCCAAAATCCGCAACCCGCAACAGTCCCTGGTGAAAGCAAGAAAAGAGAAAAGAAGAAAGTGCAGAAGGAAGGAAGTGCGGAAGGAAGGACAGACGGACGGACGACGGAAGGAAGGAAGGAAACGAGAAGACAGTTGAAGGAAAGGAGGAAAGACGGAAGCAAAGAAAGCGCTGACGATGCAGAGATAGATTGCGAGAGGGTGGTCAAGTAGGTTTCTTCTTGAGTGAGTTGGAGCTGTTTCCAGTTCATCTTGCCACATGAATCATGTTTTTCTGTGAGACGTCGATGTTATATCGAATAGCCTCCTTTGCCTCGAAACTGCCAGAAAATGTGCGTTGTCGAAACTGTTCGGAGAGAAAAATGTACGGAAAGGTGCGCAGTGCGCTATGTTGCCAGAGAGTCGTGTTAGCATCAGTCTTTCCTCACACCCAGACCTTTCTCAGGCTCCTCTCCCCCACGACTTCCGGTCAACTCGTCACCATTTCTTCCCCAAGTGGCTGGAACGTGTGAGCGTCACTGTGAGGCCGTGGCTCCCATCGTGCTGACAGAGCCGATTGGCAAAGTACACGTGGCAGTTCCAGGCATCAAAGGCCTTGAGGCAGGAAATGTCCACAGTGGGGTGGCAAGCCCAGTTTTAACCAATGGGCTGCCCCTCCAACTGGCCAACCAATTGAAGGCAATGGACTAGAAATTGGCAGAGTTGATACGATTTGCCTAGCTTTGTCGCCATGAGGAACCGATGATCAAGGTCTGCGCCAACCAACTATATTTCAGCAACATACATGTCCCTTGCCCACGACTAGCCCTGACCATGCCGAGGCAAAATCTCAGGAATTGCATCTGATATGGGGATTGGACAAACTCCTACAAGGGCATTTGTTTTTAGCTATCAATGATCAATTGGGTTGGTCTTCGCTTTCCTATGTAACGCCAGACCTCTGTGTCACAAAAGCTGGAGCAGGAATGGACGAAGGATCTAACAAAGAGCACACCGCAAATCCCTCGATTGAGAGCTTCTGTCATGTGTAAAGCGGGAGGAAAGACCTGTTGTTCGACTGTGAGCCGATTCATCGTGGCCCCCTACGATGCTTTGGCATTCGAACAAGATACATGAGCATCCAAGTCCACTGGGGCGGTGGAAATCCAATCGACCTCAAAGCGCCAGATGGTAACCACATTTAAGGCTGGCAGATAGATGTCTGCAGCACCACCCACTTGGATGTTGTCATTCACCTGGGTCGCTCTGAGCACGTGGGGGCCCCCACTCTTCAGCAAAAGCACCGCAAAGAAAGCTCAAATTCACCCGCTTAGCGCCTTTAGCCATGGAGGGAGCCTTCTTGCTCCAGCATATTTATGTTTATGTTCAACCTTTTGTGATCTTGTCTAAAATCCACAATGAATTCAAACGATGCCTGGTATGAACGTGTTAGTGATGCGCTTGCTGATGCTAGAAATGTGTTCTAAGCCATAGCATTTCTTGCATACAGTAACCGGTCTTTTTACGAGTTTCCAGTCAAGCGCGTGCCAAGCACTGCGTCACATACTGTCGACTACATGACTGTATTCGTGCCTTTTCATGAAGGCCCCTGGCCCTAAGCAGTGCCAACACCTGCTGTGGAGTCTTTATCGCAAAGCGCATTCCCGGTCACCACGATGCTCAGGTTCCGCGTGTTCCTCAATGCTTTGGTAAAGTAAATGTCTGCCGGCCCTGTGGGCATTAAGGCTGTGTACATCCCCAAGGCTGAAGTCGTGGTCCGCACGAAGTAGCCACCGGGCTGAAAGATGTAGACGTTCACGTTCAAGTCAGCCACCTACGGCAAGAGCGCAAGGAGGAGTGCTTCGGGACAGTGAAACAGCACAAGGCAGCAAACGATCATACCACATAAAAGAGTAAATCTGATGATGACCGCTCGGAAGCAATTGGTTCAGGAAGCGAAGCATGCAAAGTGATTTGAAGCAATTGGTTCAGTAAAAGAAGCATCTCTTCTCTCTTCATTTGTCTTCTCTCTTCTCAGCGGATTCAAGAGGACCAAGCCACCAAGTTCATGAGGATCAAGTCCACATCTTCGCTCTTGAAGCAACACGCTTGCGCTCCTCCAGTGCTGGACAAGCCGTAGGTGAATCCCGGATGCCCCTGCTGCTCGGCATAGGACTTGCAATCCGCCACAGTCCAGCCCAAAAGCTCCCGGCTGCAGCCAGTGGCAAGATTGTAACCCAGATAGTCATGCCAGGTGTCCTGAGGGGATCGATCCCCTTGACCCAGAACTGCACGATGTCAAAAAAGCAACAGTGGTGAAGTATGGTGAAGTATGGTGAAGTAGTGAATATTAATTTGCCAAAAAAGAACCGCAAAGTGGGAACTATGATTTCAAGAGTCGAACTAAAATCCAAGCACTCCACATCCTCTCCAAACAGAGAGAAACGTTTCAACCTACTTCGAAGTGTTCCAGTTTCTTTTTAGATCTGACCTGCCAGGTCCTGTGCGATAAGCACCACTTCGACCCCCTGAACCGGCTCATCCGTCTCGGGATCCACCACCTTCCCAGCCACCTGGTGCCTCCGCAGAGCACCTGCCTGTGGGGTGATGGTGTCTGAAAGCACGTAGGAGATGATCGCCTCCGTCTCCTCGGGCGAAAACGAAACGCAAAAGCAAAAGAACATGTGTGGGAGAGTTCGGAGCTTGTGGAGAAAGGAGGATTGATTAGAGATTGCTTCTCTAAACTCCAAGAGAAGCGGGGCTGTTCGGCTATTCAGGAACAGATGTCATTGGTGCAGCGGATGAGGGTCAATTCCAGTCCCTTACTTCAATCGAGCAAAAAGAAAAGAGGTACGGTGTGCGGTCTTACCGTCACCAGACCCTGGTCTTGATGAAGAATTTGGAGAAAACGTGTAGTGATGCTTGGGGATCCTGGAAGCGATTGTCTCTCGGGTGAGGGTTTCAGCTCTCCACAACTCAACACCTCACGTGGCAATCCCAAAGTCAGAGGGAGAGAAGAATCTCTTGACCCAAATGCCCGTGGCTCCGAGCATTCCAAGTGTCTGACGCATTCAGCGGGCGTGTGGCCAGGCTCGGCTTGGCTGGTGCCTTTGGCAACAGAGGGTGGATTCGGGGGAAGAACTCAGGCTGCTAGGCTGATACAAACAAAATCCTTTCCATTATTTCTTCACAGAAACATCCCTACAAGTGTTATCAGCTGACAAGCAGTTGCATAGTTGCATTTTTTGATAAACAACACAGCAAGCGGCTTACATGAATCCACTGTTCTGGGCCAAGTCAATACCCGCCCCTGAACCACTTGCCTATCATGAGGTGACCTTGAAAGAAATGTCCCTCATCCAACATCCCTGGTTTGCATCATCTTTGTTTTTGTTCAAAGAAGAGCTCCGGAATTCCCCAGATTGGCGAACGTCCGGGTGTTCGAGCCAAAACCCTCCCGCCTCCGAAGCAAATCTCAGATTGTCCACAAAGGCTTGCAGGTCGTGACCGCTGCCACGCACGCGGAGCGCGAAGTCGCCATCCAAGCGACCTTGCAGTGGCTCCAAGGTGCCCAGAGGCGCCAGGAGGAAGGACGGATCCAAGTACAAGCGACCAATCGAAGTGGCCACCTGAAGTCACGAAGCTCTGAAAAGATAACCTCGCTGTCGTTGGATGAAGTGGATGTTTTTGTTCTGAGGCTCTGTCTGTCGTCAAACTTCATACATCTAGGGGATTTGAATCCTCCTTTCGATCAATCCCGGAGATTGAGTCCACCCTCCGCACTTCGCGTTTTTCATCCATGGTCGATGCTTGGTCGACGTGGCAACATGGGATTGGACGGGTCAAAGTTCATTTGAAGCTCCCCATGTCCATCTGCAACCAATATCAACCAATCATGTACAACAGAAACAACAAATCCCACATGCAGCCCGCTATACTCCAGACATGCTGGTGTTAACCCTTGCCAGTGGGCTTTGTGTACTCTGGATAATGCGTGAGTCTGTCCAACAAAACGTATCTGGTTTCTACGCATCTTCACCATCTTCACCTGAATTTCTTCATCGAATTGATCACCATAAACGAACTCTCGAAAAACGAACTCTCTAAAAACGAACTCTCTGTGCTTAGAGCGTCGATGTGTTTAGCTCCAAGTGTCTAAGAGCGTCATCCACTTGGTCCCATCGCCCATGTCGGCGTCGCTGATGTTGATCCCCGAGAGCAGGAGCGACTCGCCGATCCGCACCTGGTCTGCCCAAGTGCCTTTTGGGACCGCACCAAGTGGAGGCGGAGGTGGGGGGCTTGAGAGAATGCAGGTGCCTCCAAGGCAGTCTGCTGTCTTAGGAACAGTACCAAGCCAAAGAACTTTGCTTTGTAGTTAGGTGTGATTGCAAATGTTCAAGAACAAAGGAAAACATCACAGCAACTGAGATCGTCCACAAGATTTACGATATCCACCCCAAGGCGGTCCCAGTCAAGTCAAACCCAGTCGCCTGAAACTCCAACTGATGGGCCGTGATGTTGGGATGATCGTTCTTACGCTCGACCACGGCCCAGCCTCAGCGCAAGAAACCTCGTCGGCCTTCCAAATGGTTTTGCAGCAAAAAGCTGCTAAAGCTCGCCCCAATGCAGGTCAAACAATGCTTCGGTGCTTTTATGATGACCTGATGAATCCTCATTTGCATACATCTTCCCATGTTCTCTTCCTGTCTTCCCAATGTTATGTTTGCCCAGCTGCTTTCGGCAGTGCCATGGACCACTGAGGGGTCGTCAGCAGCGGTGAGCATGAGCCGCACGGGCTCACTGCCAGACCAGTGGCTAGCAGGTAAGTAGCGAAGGTGCTGAGCGAATTCCGACAAGGCCACCGGAGCTCCTCACTCGAAACCCCCAAAAGAGACATGGAAAAGCCCCCTTCTAATTATCATGGAACGTTGAATCCCATCCCTTTTCTTGGAACGTTGAATGTTTTCGCTCGCTTGGAAAAACCCGCTCCTATGATACAAAACTCTGAGCTCCGGCCGCCGTCCACCAGGGTCTCAAAGGATTCCATGGGAAGGGTGGCGTTGATCTCTGGGCCTCGATCCGGTGGGCCGCCAGGGTTTTTTCTCCGCCGCAAGGCGTGGGATAAAGACGGCAACGGCCGCCTTCCAGGGGGTGTCACGGTGGATCTACATCTCCAAGCTTTCATCATTCTCATCCAAAGGGGTGTACAAACTCGTGAGTGAGTGTCTTTAAGGGCAAGGTTCAGCAAAGTTCTATGCTATTAAAGACATGTTGAAACAAACACTGCGTGCAGCACATGCTCATCATGCTCAGCAGCTGTCTGCTCACCACCTCTTGCCACTCATATCAACAGATCCTTCTAGAAATCAAGAAATGTATGCCCCAAGTGCACCAAGGCAATCTGGTGAATCCGAGGCACGCCAGGAGCTGGGGCAACTGGTCAACTGCCGCAGCCGCCGCATGTCGATGCTGCTTTGCAGCAGAAAGCTGCCCGATCCCAAGGAACCATGCACCGCGAGCGGCTCCACCGAAGGCAAGAAGGTCACGGGACCTGGACATCGAAGGAAAGACCCGAAGACACCTGGATATACCTGTCTCAAAACTGACAGCAGCCAGGGGAACGCACACCTTTTCAGGCGCGCGAGTGCGTCGCTTGAGCCATGAGTTCATGGCGAATCCGAGTGACATGCCTGGCACAGACATGATGATGGGAAAAGACATCATGTCCAAACATGGAGTGGTCATGTCGTGACCATGGAAACACCCTCGTTTTCACACCCGTATTGTTTTACAGGTGTGGCACTCGGGCTTTGGAATTCCACTTGGAGCTGGCCGTTCTTCATCAACTCATCCAGCTGCTCAGCTCTCATGGCTTTTGTCAAGCCATCTGCGACCATCGTTTTGGTCGAGATCCAGCGAACCACGGTGCTGGCGTCATCAGGCAGTGAGTTGGTGTAGGTGGGGTTTCCGACCGGCTCTCCAGCGCGCCTCCACACATCTTGGCGGAGACTTGTAAGGTCAATCGCCAACCGCTTGTCGCTGACTTCTCCACCTGAACAGTTGGTCAGGTGATCACTCAGGCTGCGGCAATCAGTGAGCCACAGGCTTGTGGTGGAATCCATTGCCCTCGTGTACCGGTCGGCCTTGGGCGTCTCTGCGGCTTCATTCTTGATCTCGTAGAGGATCTGCCGCACATGTTCTGACTCTTCGGAGCCCAATTGAAGACTCATCGTCTCGGCCTGGAGGGTACTCCGGCAAACACGCCGGATGGTGTTGGAGTGCCATTCAAGGAGGTAGACTGAGCCCTTTCCAGTGGTGGCGAAGGAAGGGTCTGCCAGAGCTAGCAGGCGTCCAGATTGGGATCGGTGTCCCGCCACAACTCCTTCTCCGATGGCCTCCACGCTTGCTGCGCGCGATGCATCGTTGATGCTGAGGATGATGGCGCTCTCAAACTTCATAGCTCCTTTGGCATAGAAGATGCCCTTGTCACGGTCTTGTAGTGCATGATGGAGGAGCTTATTGGCATCGATGAGATGCTTGACTTGAGCTGCTTGTTGTCGGGCTTGAAGTTGGTTGACCTGGAAACTCAGGTCAGGTCGGCAGACTCGAGCGAGCCAACTTAAGCTGCCCACAACTGACCGCAGCTGGCTGATTTCAGCCGGTGTTGCCATCTCTCCAAGCTGCTTGCGCCTCTGTGGATTGAGGAAGATCGGCTTGGTCCGATCCAGGACGCTGGGACAGGTGATGGTGATGCCATCTTTCCCTTGGTGGATGATGCTTCCGCAGTACTTCAATTCATCACTTTCCACGAGGCCAAACTTGAACTCAGCTTGGACTGCTTCCGTCGTCTTCTGCGTGGCCTCTGATCCGGCCCACAGCAAATCATCAACGTGACAGCCCAAGAACCCTGCAACTTGTCCTTTTTCGCCTGGCAGGTAGTAGGCGGAGGTCTCAAGTGAGATGGGCTTCAGACCATTGCGGAGCAGGGTGTCATGAAGGGCTTTCCAAAATCCTCTTGGAGCATCTCTGGTGCCATAGACGCTCTTCTTGGCGATCAGCAGACTCCCAGGTTGAACATCTGGGTCTGGGATGCCTCCCTTGGGTTGCGACATAGCCAGGACACGTGGTGATGCCAGTGCCTTGGAGGAAAGCGGCACTGATGTCTCCAGCCCGGAGTCTTGTGCCAGTGGCTGCCGCTAAGCTGATGATCATCTGGAGGATCAGCTGTGATGTCGTGGGCGAATCAGTGCGGAGGTCATTGTTCTTCTCAAGATCACCTCGCACGACCAATCTGCTCTTCCAGCGAGGTTCTTCATGTTGTTCTGCCTTGTTCACATCAACCCAACGGGTCGGCAGAATCACAGCCTCTGGGTGGTCGGACAGGAACTTCTCCTTCTCATCAGGAGGGACCACAAAGACAGCATCAAACTGCTTCCAGTTGTTCCATTCTTTGCCACGGGTGCTGTCCAGGGCTTTCTTCACTTCAGGAGAGGCCTTGTCATAGTTGATCTCAGCTCCTGCACCCACTTGGCGCTTCTTCTTGTTGAAGCGCTTGGCCAACATGCAGTGGAGATGCCATTCTTCTTCTTGCTTCACGCGGCCAAGTGCAAAGAGGCCGTCTTCTGAGCTTCTTGGTGCGGGGACGTTATGTGCTTCTCTGACAGGTGAGCGGGATCGCTCCTGTCTGGAAAGGCCTGGTGGTGGCCTGATGGTCTGTGGATGACCATCCAGAGTATCGAGGTTTCGATACATTGCTTGCTGCAGTGGTGTTGATGCTGCTGTGGCTGCTTGCACCGGTGTATTGGGCACGGTCGATGGGATCATCTCGATCTCTGGTTCCGTGGTTTGCCGTTCTGGCATTGCTTGCTCTGCTTGTGGTAGCGGAGGTGTGTCTTCTGGTAGCGGAGGAGTTTCTTCTTCTTCATGGATCACACGCATGTGATCTGGCGGCTCAGATGGTGTGTACTCCTCTTGTGGAGTTTCTTCATCATCAGGTGGCCCTTGTCCTCCAGGAACTTCAATGTATCCTGGTTGGCTTTCTCCCCAATTGCGAAGCCTGTAGTCATCAGAGAAGGGGATGTTTTCACGGCCACGTTCCTCTTCATGAATTGCTTCCCTCATGCGCCTCCTCGATGGACGTAGTTCCAAAAGTCGTTTCGTGTAGATCTCGGTGCTGGAAGCTGGGCGCAATGAGGTTTCCGAAGCAACAACTGGTACTCCAGCATGGATCCTGGTAGTCCTTGATTGGCAGCGATAGAGCTCAGCATCGCTGCTCCTGCAAAGATCTCGAGGAGGAAGACCTTGCAGCCACGTGGAAGGCAGACACCAGAGCGACGTCCACGTCGAGGAGTGGACTGAAGTTGAGACCACATTGCTTGGTCTTGCTCACCAAGCTCATTGAGTTCTTCTTCGAGCTGCCGTTTCTGATTCTTGGTCAAGGTCTTGGGTTGTTCTTCATCAAGTCGGATATGCACTTCAGTGTTGGTGGAAGTGGGTGAGGTCGGCGACGTTGGCGAAGACGGTTGTTCAGACCCATAGTCGGTCTCGACATCAGTGTCCGTCACCATTTGCTCCTGACTGGAGTGCATGCCAAGCATCGCAATCTGAGAAGGCAGCAGGTGCAATCCAAGAAGACCATTCAGGTCGGTGACCTTGAGGTAGCCACCAAGCAATCGGCTGTAGACCTTGTCGGGCGTGTTCTCATCGCCAAGGTTGACCTGCAGCTGGAGTCGGCGTTGGTCCTTGATGGATAGAAGCAGTGGTGCATCGCTGTTGCACAATTCCGTGCTGTCGATGGTGCCAACGGCAAAGCTGTCCTCTTGGGATTCAAGTTGAAAGCACACTTCAAGTAGCCGTGTGCCAGAAGTGTTGACTTGCCCATTGATGCCCTTGATGCTGGAAGTGGATTGCCTGAGTTCACATAGTGGGGCATCAGGACCGATGGCTTGTTGATACCGTTGCATCCATCGATCACCATGACAAGTCCGGTTGCATCCGGAATCCAGGATTGCGAGCAAGTGAGATTCTCGCGCTGGCTCTTGTGGTTCATCATGTAGTCCTGGTAGGTCATGGCTTTCAGGATCGTGTAGTCCTGGTTCATCATCATCATTGGCCATATAGGCTGCTGGTGATCCATGGTATGAGGAAGGTGCCCTCGGTGGTGTTCGTGGTGGAGTCCATGGTTCACCCTGAGCGGCCTTCTTCTCACGGAAGTAGTGAGCCAGGTCTTTCATGCCGCGACTGGAGCCCTCATCAACGTTGTTCAGGACCCAATCAACATAGTTTTCATCTTGCCAAGCATACCAAAATGGATGCCCCTTTGTGCTTGCCGAAGGTGATGGTCTTAGTGCCATGGAAGTAGAGCACATCAGACTGATCCCTCGGTGGTGGTGCCTTTGGTGTCGATGGCACTTGAGCTGTTGACCTGGTGGGCATAGTTGGCATGCCGGTGTACTCTGAGCTGAGAGTGTCCAGGTTCACTGACACAGCATCGATGATCCTGTGGATCTCTTCCAGGCTGAGGATTCCATTGTTCTCCTTCATCTTGATGGTGGCGATCATGAGTGAAGAGCGAAGCAGCTCATGAACCGACTTGGAATCGAACTGCTTGTTGTCATGGACAGGCTGTCCAATGGCGCCACGCAGGTCTCCTCATTGACACGGAGATGAGGTGGCTTGGGGACATGTTGATCTGACCATGCACCACGAATGACCTTGCCGCAGTCAAGGCAAGTGTTTCGCCAGTTGATTCCATTGGATCCTCTCCACCTGCACCTGTTGTGATTGCATTGGTGAAGCCTGGAGCTCCCTCAACAGGTTGGGCGTTCTTGCCAACGATCATCTTCTTCTCATTCTTGAGCAGGAGACCACAGTCGAGACATGTCTCCTTGAGGTAGTATCCATTGCTGCCCTTCTTGGTGACCCGGATGTGAGAGCATGCTTCCTGTTGAGGCGTTGCCGGTGCTGAGGAAGTGACATTGGTACTTGCCGAACCTGAAGCTGGTTCTCCTGGAGGGGATTCTTCTTCAACCTCCATGTCCATCAAAGTGTTGAGGACTTGGCCCACGAGAGTTGGTGGTACATGAAGTGGCATTGCCGTGGGCGGTGGATTTCTTGTCGGAGTGTCAAGCTGTCCATAGCCGGCCTGAGGATGCATAGGGCCGGTCTGACGTGGAGCTTGTCCGGCCGTCTGGATACCTTCAGGTGACATCACACAGAGGTCCTCGGGGTTGTGGAGCATGAAGTCCAGGACCTGATCGGCTGTCCAGCCTCGTTCCAATTCCTGAGTTGCCATAGTGGCTTGCATGGATGCTGCAGTGGGCGGTGGCATCATTGCAAACATGGTGCTCAAACTTGAGGAAGGCCCACCTGCAGGTGCTGTCGACTGCATAGACGGTGTCCGTGATGTAGGCACTTCTGAAGGTGGTTCAGAGCCAGAGCCAGTGCCGCCGGAGACCGCCATGAGGCATGTGTCTTCGTTCACAATCTCATAGTCCTGAGGTCCATCATGCATGGCAAAGTAGACCACTCTGGTCTTCGGAGTTCCGCCACCTTTTGAACCCTTCTTGCCATGCTTGCCGGATGCAGCCGTAGTCGAGGATGAGAAGCTCTTCTTGGACTTGCTGTCGCCCTTGCCTGTGCCCTTGGGACATTGTGGGTCGCCAGACCAATGTCCTCTTTGTCCACACTTGCGGCACTCGGTCTTGCTCTTGAGCTGCTGAAGGCGAGCACGCTTCTCTTGCAAGGAAAGCGAGCCAGAGACTTCAAACTGTCTGGACCCGCTGAAGCCGCTGGGGCCCTTGCCTTTGGCTTGACCTCGAACGAAGTAGGCCTCATTCTCCAGTTGGATGGCCTCAGCTGCCAGTGCACAGGCTTCTTCGTTCTGCATGTCCAGGCCTTCGTCGATGAAGTAGGCGGCCCATTCCGCCAGGAGGTCATTGCCCTCAGAATCCTCATAGCCGAGGTAGGTGGTGTTCTCATCGTCGTCCTCAAAGACCTCGGTGAAGCCTGCCAGGGACTGGGATGCCGTCTCCCAGTCAGGGGACTCTTCATAGATCTCTTCATCCACGTGAAAGGCCTTGTGACTGAAGCCTTTTCCTTTGGATCTCCATGATCCTTTGAAGCTGCCGGGATGCCGTCGTGGAAGTCGCTCACGTTCATGTAGTCGAGGATGTTGGTTCAGCAGCTCGTCAGCCACGAGCTCGACTTCCATCTTGCCTCGTAGGGTGGTGCGGATCATCAGCTTCTGGTCTTCACTGAGACCTGCGTTCTGGAGGATCTGCTCTGCTAAGATCCCTTCACTCACCGCCATGCTCGGGTCGAGCTGTTGGAGCTGGCGCCACCATGTTTTGCGCCTGAGCACATAGCTTGAAACCGGCTCTCCATGCTGCCGAGACATCATGCCGCCATCTCTGGAGCCGATGGCGTAGAGCTCTCTGGCCTCCTGTTCACGGCGTGGCCGGAGGTTCTTCTCGAAGAGGGTGATCAGGATCTCAGGAGCCTCGGTGGTCGCGAGCTTGGATGGCTCGATCTGCTGAGCCATCTTCAAGGCGGTGCCTCGAAGTCCCTCAACTAGCCTGAGCCCCAGCGGCCCAAGTTTCTTGACCTCACCTGCATCCATGTGGGACTCTCTTTGGACTCGAGCTCGTACGCGGTAGGCGTACTCGTTGAGGGCGCTGGGTTCCCCGCTGAAGCGAGGGATGCCAAACTTGGACTCTGTTTGGTCATCGGCCACCACGCTGGTGGAAGCTGCTGCGGCGGCTGCATCGTAGCGCAGCGCCTCCAAGAACGCTGCCATGGCGTCCTTGGCGAACGGAGTGGAAAAGCGTTGCTGGGATCGACCCAGCTCCGCTGCCAGTCTCAAAACTGACAGCAGCCAGGGGAACGCACACCTTTTCAGGCGCGCGAGTGCGTCGCTTGAGCCATGAGTTCATGGCGAATCCGAGTGACATGCCTGGCACAGACATGATGATGGGAAAAGACATCATGTCCAAACATGGAGTGGTCATGTCGTGACCATGGAAACACCCTCGTTTTCACACCTGGATATACCTGGTATTCCATGCTTTTCCATTCATGACCTATCGACCTGTTAACAGCCTGATGACCCATTGTTTAAGGTATCTATATGATTAGGCGTATATATTTTGTGTCTGGATCAAGAGCATGATTTCTGATACCAAGTGGCATTGAATCCTCATGGATGCAGCCTGTCCTGGATAGACCAGCGTGCTGCTCTGGAACCTGAATGCGCTGCCGGTATTCCGCGCGTTCCCCAAATTACAGTAGTGGAACTGAGCAATAGTAGTAGACAGGTACAACAAAGAAATGGTGTGCAACGAAATACACCGAGTCGCATCTCATGATTGGGGCAAGTGTAGTTAACCACAAGTTCCTTGATACAATCCGGAGCAGGGTCGATAATGCCCACAGGGTCGAAGATGTATTCGCAGCTCAGAGATCCCATGCACCGATCTCTTGCCAACCTTGGTGCTTCGTCTGGCGACCCATCCACCACAGGGTGGGTGTCTCGTTACTTGCTCCCTTTGGGCATCCAGACACCACAAGCACGAATGTTTAAAACACGGTTTTCCAACAGCCGTGCGGAATGGCCCTCCCCAGTGGTGCCCCCGTGTTGTTTGATGTCAGCCCCCATGATCTTCAACTGCAACTTCACGACACAAGCGCACAGATCTGCCCTTCGACCTTGAACTGAGGGAGCAACTGGAAGTCTGTGACGTTCTCATTTAGAGTGAGGTTTTCCTCCGGCAGGGCCATCATATCCACGAAGCCGCTGCAGTTCAACGGGGGTACTCCCACCACCAATGGCGTGTATGTTGGGCGGCCATAGTACAGCTGCGAAATCACCTGCACTGAAAAGAACACCACTGAAAGACAGTGCTAAAGGATGCTGGCGGAATCTTAGAGGAAAATGGTTTTGCATGTGTGTTCCTGTTATATAATTGGCATTCACTGATTCCAAAGAAGCTCTCAGACAAGTCCTGGGCAGTACTACAAGACTGTAAAATTACTACAATTGTGTAACAAATGATGGTAAGAGAAGCAACAAGTCGAAGAAAGGGGAGGGGAAGTTTTTGGTCACTGATGTGGCCATCTCTCGCCATGTGTTCGCCTCCATGACCAAGGTGTCAAAACACCCCTCCAGGCCATTCAGGGTTTGCACGCAGAATCGGCCATTGGAGCCCGCCAAGCTGGTGTAGTCGAAGGCCTACCATCAGGCTGGTGTCGTCGGTCGTGGATTCGGCAAGGAAAAAAAACATGAGAAAATACCCGACGGTTCTTTGAGCTGTGGACCGGTGCAGCTCTGTCAAGAAGAGTCATGCAGTCCACACTCCATTATACTAGGTTCAGATGAGATAGGACTAGTGCCCCAAAATGAGTTGGGACTTAGTCCCATCTCATTTGGACATAGCATAATTGTTGCTTTCACCAAAGCCCCTCAACATGATTGTCTTCCGTGCAGTTGAGACATTGGAGTGTCAACGTCGGTGTGGGCCAAAAGGTTGTGTTCCTTGCCTGTGGTTGAGCAATATAATGCGTTTCGTGCGAAAACGGTTTGTTCTGATACCACAATAACAGGAACAGTTTGTTCAATCAATGGCAAGGAGCATGGACTTGTCTGTTCGCATGAAACCCTTCAATGCTCTACGAGTCTCCAGCACCATCAATACGTATCAACATGTTCCCATGCGTTTTGAGTTTTGAGGTATGAAGACGTCCTGATTCATTGCGATGAATCCGACTACTTTCAACACTGTGGCCGCCCTGTGGCCCCAGGAGCTACTAGTAGCTTCTTGCTCCGTTCGTAGCGATGCCCTTTGTTACTAGTAGCGTCCTTGTTACTATTAGTAATGCCAGGAGCTACTAGTAGCGTCCTTGCCCCTAGTCTTCCAGTAGATCCCCTCCACTCTCACTCTGACCTGGCTCTGATAGCTCGATGCTGAGGTGTTTTGGCATGGCGCTAAAGACCAACCACCTGAGGGACGACCCGCCGTCTCTGCAACCTGAGCGCTAGCCCACGGATGCCTTCTTTCAGTCGTAGGCATGGGTCAAGCATGCTTCAGGAGCAAAAGGATCTACCTACTTACTTTTTGCATGTCTCTCTTCGACAAAGGCTTGAATCAACTACAACTCCTTATTGATTGAACAAAAACAAAAAGACTTTTCCACCTGAGATTGTGGTGTCTCTTCTGCTGCTGTTTCGCTGGGCTGAAATTGTCTGACCTCTGCAGCTAAATGTTTCTTCTTGCCGTGCCATGCTTCTCCCGAAACAGGATTGCCCACAATTGGGGCAATCTCCTGACCTCACCATGTCCACACAACCCCATAAAACCTCGCCGTGCCCACGAGCTCCCAGTCCATGTGCAGCGCAGACACCGGTCCTGTGATGAAAGTCAAGCATTGGTCCGCCATGTGCGCTGGACGCAGCGTGCAGCCTTCGTCCTCACAACTCAGTTGCTCCATACTGGTGCCGTTGGAGTTGATGAGAAGCCAGAGGTCACAGGGCCTCAAAAGGACAAGCGGATCGAAAACCCAAAGACAAAGGGGAAAAGGTTAGAAGGAAGAGACAAACAGACAAACAGACAGACAGACCGACCGCCCGGCCGGCCGGCCGGCCGGACGGACGGACGGACGGGCGGAGATTTACTGTTGAAAGGGTGTGAGATTAACACATGACTGTTACAGGCTTTCTGGCCAGGATTGCTTTACATGCCGCACATTAGACCTGTGATGCGGAGTAGAGAAGGACCTCGTCGTGCACCCTCTGCCGTTCCATGGAAGGCTTGTTTCAGCAATCGCCACAAAATGAATCAGAATCAAAACAAATCTTGTGGGAGGAAAATCTAGCGCGCATGCGCGGAATGGTCATATCAATCACATGACTTCGCAGTGTTCCCAGAATTTGATCCGTTTGGCCGAAATGCTGTGTGGAAAGGCTCTCGTTGATCCAGGTGTAGGGCTCCAATGCCCTCAAGCATGTCCTGCTGCTCCCATCGTTCTCGGTCAGAGCGCTCGCCAAGGGGACGCCTGAAGGAGCCAAAGTCTTCAGGTCATGTATCTCGATGCTTGGATCCGTCACCGAGTCTTCAAAGACCTCAGACGTCCACCAGTTGATGACAGTGAAATCAAAGCCTCTACTGCCGTAAACTGAAACACATATTGTGCAACGTGCAACTCTGAACATCATGAGCTTCGCTAAATGGACCTGTGACCGCAGCCACATCTCTGCCAAGTTGCGTTTAACCTCCCCGGCATTTGGATTGTAGCGGGCGGCACCACGATCTCCTGGGGAAAGCGAGTTGCTCTGCAACGGCTCGGTTGGGCCAAGGTTTCCCCGCTTTCATCGCTCCTATCACCAGGACCTACAGATGTCGCATGTCTAGTGGAGGATGGCCTGCCTGGTGGAGGATGGCCTCAGGTGAGCCAGTGGAGATGAATTGGTCGCATGATCTTTGGGAGTGTGTCTATTGTCCTCTCGCGGGGGTCCGTACAAGTCTTAGGACGGTCTGCAGAATTGCAGCCTCGAAAGCGTTGAACCAAAGACTTGAAGAAGAAGGTCATAGACTCTGGCCATACGGTATTCAGATCTACCTAGACTACATTATTGCGCCACTTCGAACCAAGAACAAATCCAAACCAAAACAAACAAGAAAGGTGAGGGCTCCCTATGGTTCCCTCAAACAATTCCTGCTGGAGACACTTTCCAACGAGAAAACCAAACACTGGATTTAAGAGGTGTCTTTTTCACCATGCAAACCCCACAGTGCCTAAGCCGGGCTCTTGGCTCCTGCAACTGCACTTGGATCGTCATATTCAATTGCGCACTCTGCGTTTGCTCTGAGGCCGCTTGAAGCCTTTGACTCTGCACGAAAGCTTGCAGTCGATCAGTGCCGATGAAGCCATCCGTGGGGACATAGGTGAGATCCTCGGAGGTGGATTTTTGCATCCGCACGGGCCGCACGGGTGTGGGTAGGGATGTGCCCATGTGCCTTGTAGGACCCAGTCTGGGTGGCATTTGGATTTGGGACCGGACCCAGACTGTTCAAACCTGCCCAACAAGATTTGAAGTTTGGGTCTCCACGCTCCAAGGTGAGTCTTCAAGACTTCGCGCGCAGCAATCTAAGCTTTACTCGGGGACTTCAAGCAGATCTAGAAGGGAAAGAGAGGCTCGGGGTTGAAATGAGCAGCTCTTTGCAGTTTGCCACAAAGATTCAAGGAGGCACTTGAGAGGGAAAGGTTCTTGACTCACTTGACTCCATCATGTCCGAACTCCCAAGCATGCACACCAAACAGCCGCTGGTAACCCTTCCGAACACAGAGACCGAAACCCTTCCGTGGCAGGGTCTCGATGATCGTATGACGAGAAAGCCAAGGTGCAGTCAAGAAGTCTTGTACTTCCGCTGTGGAGCCAGAAAACTCCATGGAGGAGTCAATGGTCTGGAGACAGGTGACTGGTGGAGTGACTGAGAGGTTTAACAGAGCTTTAAAATCAATCAGGTTGGAAGAACCCCAAACACCTGCTGCTTTCATCAACCCATTCCGCTAATGCAAAAATCACCTAGAATCACTCACATGGAATCACATGGAAAAAGTGAGCGGATTCCATGACCCTGTCCGTGGCCGCCATGTAAGTTCACCCTCGTGGAGATCATCACCTTTTGCTCAATCGCATGCCGAACGCCGAACGCTGCGTGGGGGCCTCCATTTGCCCACCGAAGATCCAAAGAGCGAAGGAGCAGTGGCTGCAAGTGACCCAAACGCTGAAGAGATCCTCCCGCCGCACCAAAGGCCCAAACTCGACCTGAAACAGCGGCCTTTTTCCGCATGAAAGATGATGGGATTGGGGTGGGGAAGGATTCATTATATATCTATCCCAGCAAACGAGGATTCAAATGCAGGAATGGCAACCTCATTATTGTTGAAAACGCGGCATGGGGGTTCTTGAAAGAATTTGAAGCCACCAAAAGAAATACGGTGGAACTGCATCCAGCACATGTGAGGTCAAGTCAAGGTTTTAGACCCATGGATGAGTGTCCATCTACTTACAACATGTGGCCAACATCTCCCTCTATATATATATATATATAGATGGGCTTGTGTTGAACAAAGCTGGAAAGGAGGAAAACTCAACCAAAAAACAAGGTTTCACGTCCGTACGGGCCCCCCGTCTTCGTGTGGGCAGGCCCATACGAAATGGCGTTTCGAGCGTTTCAAAAGTCAAAAAAAAGTTGTAGCGGCCTTTTTTCAGCCGTGGTCGGCACGCTCTCAGGTGTTTCGCGTGTGGTGGCGATACACCCACTGATACACTCTATTCCACAGCCGTGGGTTCACCAATCCTTTGGACCGGTTCTTGCTTTGTGGCGGGATGAATTTCATCCACAACCACAGCCGATCTAGCTGATGGGTGCCAAAGATCATCTGCTTCGAGTTGACCATTGGCCTTCTTAGTCCATTGACTCTTCACATGCTTGACGTGTTTCACAGTCAAGCGCTTCGAAAGCAGCGGCCGACCACGCAAGTGCACCATCTGCACACAACACAACAAAGAACCTGCTCGAACATTCCGAAGCAAGCCTATCTCAGCACATAAAAGGTCTTTTACCTTTTGCACCGAGAATCGGGTCCTCCCGCGAACCAGCGGCCCGAAATGGTGTCTGCGGCGCGCTCTTGTCTGACATCCGGCTGCCAAACTCAAAAAACAACGCCCGACGAACACGCGACTCGACGAAACCACGAACTGACGAAAACGCGAAATGACCCAAACACGAACCGACGTCATTTGCCCCCCCCCTGAAATGTAGAGCCTACTTGTACAGGTTCCACTCCAGTGGCCTATCTAGTGTGTCCATGCTTGACTGCCATAAGGCTCAAGAAGAGACAAGAGGATAAGACTCTGCGCATAAAAGACACTAGCGGTCTGCACCTCAACCGTGTACGCCCTAGTCACTCTTTCAGTGGTAGCGGAGCTGTGATCCTGGAAGACCCAGGTGAGCTCCTTTCCTAGGCATAGACTTGCTTTTAGGCAAACGGCCATGGATTGGATTGACGACTGGGAAGAGCCTGATGCGGATGTGGCTTATGAGCCAGCAGCCTATGTGAATAGGCATGTGAGAAGAGAACCAGCAGCAATAGCAATGACAACACAGGTCACTACAAAAGTGCCCCCATCTTACGATGGAAAGACTTCATGGTTTTCCTATGAGGATGCCATAGACGATTGGTGCGATATCACCGAGCTGGAAGATGAGAAGAGAGGACCAGCATTAAGGAACAGATTAGAAGGAGAAGCAGCTGTATACAAACGAGTTCTAGACAGAGATGCATTGAAGGCGAATGATCCACCACCAGGAGCTGGAGTAGATTATTTCAAACGAGTACTACGACCATATTTTGTGAAAGGATCAACCAATGTATTCCTGTATAGGTTTATGCAATTCGTGCGCTTCAATCGCGGATCAGCGGACATGATGAAGTGGATGACAAGATTTCAGATTTTACTCCAAAGGCTTATGAGCAGTTGGGTGGACATGTTGGAGCCAGTCACACAAGCACATCCTCAGGTACAAGCTCAGATGCAAGCTGATGCAGTGATGAATGGAGTAGCTCCAACGGCAGAAAGAATTCAGGAAATCATGCAGACTATCAATGGCAATCTGAGAACTTTTCATCAGAACGACTTTCCTTTGGGAGAAAATCTCATTGCCTTACTTACGCTGTCACTTGCAGATTTGTCTCAGGACCAGAGGAACACTTTGACTTCTTTGATGACTCATCGTGGTAGGGTCCTGCAGCAATACACCACAACAGAGTTGAGGACAGTTTTTATTGAGATGTTCTGCACGACAAAGACTTCAGTAGACAATCCCTTGATGCAGCCGACAGGTGCTGGAGGTAGGAGATCATTTCTAGTGCTTGATGAAGGAGAACTCGATGGTACTTATGGCTATTGGGCCGAAGACGAAGAAGATGGAGCAGAAGGATTTCTTGATGCCCTGGACGATGTCTTTTGGGTATATGATGAACAGAATTTCTCTTGGTTCCAGAGGAGATTCCAAGGAAGAAGAGCCAGAAAAGGCAAAGGAAAAGGAAGAAGAAAAGGAAAAGGCAAAGGAAGATCAGGCCGCAGATTCTTCAGACCTCGAGGAAAAGGAAAAGGAGGAAAGAGACGAGGTAAAGGCCATTATGCTGATGAGCAATCGCCAACTTATCCAGAAGAGTATTATGAAGAGAATCCTTATGAGGACACTTGGGAGTCAAATCAAGTAGCATATGATGCCATTATTGCCGAAGATATGAATGACTATCTTCAAGGAGAACATGAAGATGCCAATGACTTTTGGCAACAGCTTGAAGAAGCATGGTTTTCCCACAAAGGAAAGGGAAAAGGCAAGAGAAAAGGCAAGAAAGGAAAGGGAAAAGATAAAGGAGATGGCAAACAAGATGCAAATTATGCAAATCAACAACAGCCACGTTCTTTGCCTGCACCTTAAAGATCTTCACAAGCATCAGGAAGCCACCAAGGTTTCTTTGCACATTGTGTGACAACAGCAGCTGAAGTCAGTGACAGTGAGGTGAACTTGCTGTCAGGCATGATGACCTCACGTCAAGATGAAGCTGACTGTAAGATCAACAATGGTGAGACGATCTTCGATGGCATGAGTGCCCCTGTGAGGTACTCTTTGTCAAAGGAGATGCTCACAAGTGCTCCTGATGGCTTTGCGCTTATGAGCGCTGAGGAAGAAGTGAAGGAGACGCAGGCTATTTCATTTTTGACTGAGAATCGCTTCCCGCCAACTATTGCAATCCTGGACATTGGATGCACTAGAGCTATGGGATCAAGGCGTGCAGTCGAGAATTTTTGCAACTATGTCGACAGTCACCCAAATTGTGGACTATGGTACTCTTTTGAGGCTACCAAGAGCAAGTGTTACTTTGCCAATTCTCAGAAGGCTTCTTGCTCTCAGAAACTGGTGATTTACATGTATGATCGCACATGGGCGATCCACAATACAGAGTTCGACATAGTGGAAGAAGGAGAAGTCCCTTTGCTTATGAGCTTGCCACAGATGAGAAACTTAGGATTTGAACTCAGGCTGACACCTCAACACGCTTATCTGACATCGGTGCCTCTTGGTATCAAACATTTGGAGTTGAAGGTTGCAGCCAGTACTCATCTTGTTTTGGACTTCCAAGACATTGCATGGTATTTGTCTGACGTGCGTTTGCAGGCTCGGCGTGAGAAGAGTTTTTACTCTCACTTCACTCACTATGAATATGGCCATATTTCTGTTGATCACAATAGTGATGAAGATGAAGCTGAGCATGCATATCCTGTGGTTGATTACTGGGAAGTAGATGTTCACAAGAGAGAACTGATACGTCACCACAAGGATTACAGGAAGATTCTTTTCCCAGCAACCAAGTCCTGTCCTGTAGACACTGACTTGCTGGAAGACTTGCGATTGACAATCATCAAGAAGAAGGAAGGAGGAGAAGAAATCAAGAAGCTAGATGATTGGCGCAAGGCAAAATGGAAGGACCTACAAATTGGCTATGAATGGCGTGGTAGAACAATTTTTAAGTTCAAACCAGATGCCAAGATTCCAGATCTTAAGATCAGGAAGGCTGGCATTGAGCACCGTGGCATTGGTGATCCCGATGCAGTGGTGCGCTCCTCCTCAGAGAAGGTTCCCATTGCAAAGGACAGGGAACCAGGCTTCTCTTCAGAGAAGGAAGGTGTACCATCCAGTGCCGCGGAAAAGCCTGCGCCGCCAAAGTTTCGTTATACATCCAAGGGTTTTGATCCATTTTGGAAGGGACGCAAGTTGAAACCATCTGAGCCTCCAAATGATTTAAAGGGTGATGATCCTGAGGGGTATACTCCCTCAGAACCACCTGAGAGGCCAGAAGGTGAACTTGTAGAAATTCCTAAAGCATCAAAAGGACCATCAAGTGATAAACATGAACCACTTGAACCAGGTGATG